CTACCCAATGTAGGTTAGAATGTGTGTCTTGGAGTCTGGGCTTAGTTTCTGAGTCCTTGGTTGTTTGGATTAATGCATCATATTTTATTCCCACCCATCCCCTCAGCTTTGTCTTCTCCTGCAACCCCTTCCAAAGCATTGTCAGCACTCCCATGGGCATCCTTCTACATTCTTCTCCTCGCTCATATAGTTGTCTTTCATTTTTATGTACAGAGTGTCCTATAGGGTCCCATTCTTTTTTGCTAGTGGAATCTTGACTTTATTTACAATGCAGTGTGCTTAATCCTGGCAATATGTCATGATTGGTCCAAGCCAATAATGATAATCCTTTCTCCATATTTGCCAGCCTACCCTGCAGCTAGAGGTGGCCACATGACCCAGCTCTGGCCAAGAAGATACTAGCTATGGGTGGGGATTCCAGGAAAACTTTTGATGATTCATTTAGAAGAGTCTTTGCCCCTTGCCCTCTACCTGCCTAGAATGCACATATAATGCCTGTAGGTGCCATAGGCGTCTTATGGCCATGCAGTGAAAAAGATGGTGGGGTAGAAATATAAGAACGGTCTGGTCTTCCAGAGCCCTGTGGAACTGCTGAAACAAGCCAGAAACTGTCTATATTCACACCACACCTCATGGAAGAAAAACAAACTCCTTTGTTTAAACCACTGCTAATCTGGTTGATTGTTATCTGACATTCAAAAGCATTTATAACTGATACAAGCTCCATATGCAAACACACACACATTTTTTGGTCTTCAATTTACAAAAGTGCAATCATAGATACTTCTCTTAGTTTATGGAATCTTGCTTTATATCCTTCATAATACATAGCGGAAATTTCTTCAACTCAATGGGTATAGTTCTAATTTACTATTTAAAAAATATCTTATTAATTGTCATGGATAGGTAATACTGGTACATGGTTCAAAATTCAATTTTGGTATATGTGCTGCCAAAGGGAGCACTGGTTCAAAATTCAAAATGTGTGGTCACTTTGAAACACTAGAAACACTAGAAATTCCTCGAAAAGGTAAACAGAGAGTTATTATATGCTAGAAATTTCACTCCTAGGTATATACCCAAGAGTAATGAAAGCACGTATCCACACAAACAACCTGTGTGTAAATGTTCACAGCAGGATTATTTAGCCCCAGAATGGAAAACAAAAACAAAAACAAAAACAAACAAAAACAACAACCTAAATGCCTTTCACTGATGAATGAACAAAATGTGGTATAGTCATACAATTGGAATATTACTCAGCAAAAATAAAATAAAAGGAATCCTGATGCATGCTACAATGTAGATAAACTTTGAAACATTAATGCTGAATGAAAAGAAGCCAGTTTCCAAAAATACAATATTGCATGATCATGTTTATGTGTGGAATAGGTGAACCCACAGAGACAGAGAATAGATTAGTGGTTACTTGGGGCTAGGGGTGGGGCAGTTAGGAATAGAGAATGAATGCTAATGTGTAGGTGGTTTTTTTCCAATTTATTTCCAATGTTTCAATTTATTTCCAATTTTTGCCTTTCCAAACAATGATGAAATAAATAATCTTGTCTGAACATCATTCCCCATATTTGTGAGTACATATTTGGGATAAAATGGGATAAAATCCTAGAGGTGGAATTCTTGGATTAAAGGATAGGTGTACTTTTTATTTTGATGGAATTGCCAAAATGATCTCCACAGTGTTGGTGGGAAGTTATCCTCCCACTAACAATATGTGAGTGTGTCTGTTTTCCCAGAGCCCCAATAGCACCATGTGTTACATTTTTGATTTTGTCAATCTGGTAGTTGAAAAATTAAATTGCATTGTGGTTGTAATGCACATTTTTGTTATTGTGAGCACACTAAGCATCTTTTCCACATCAAATAACAATACATGCAATAAAGTTAGTGTTATATTTATTCATGAAGTCATTTGAACTTTCTGTAAATTGTTCATATCCTTTACCAGCTTTTCTATGGGCTTTGGTCTCTTTCTTATTGTTTTCTTTAGGAGCTCTAGTAAGGGAATTAACTGTTTGGCTCATTTTTAGCAAATATTTTCCCAAGTTTTTCATTGGTCCTTTGATATTATGGTTGGGTTTTTTTTTTTTCATGAAGAAAATTTTATGTTTGGATCTAGTTAAATTTATATATTTACAGATAAACATATAAATATAAAATATATAAATAATAAAATTATTATTAAATTATATAATATAAAATAAATATATAGATTTACAAATATTTTACAAATTTATATATAAAGTAGCACATTTATGTACTATATTCTTTTATAGCTTCTGGATTTTGTGAAGTGATAAAAATATTTATTTCTAGTGCATTTATGGTTTCATTTCTTTACATGTAAATATTTATAGAATTTATCTTGCTTTAAGGAATGAGTAGGGATCCAATTAATTTTTTTAGGTGCATTTTTAGTGATTCTGACTCCATTGTCAAGTAGTCTACTTCCCTCCGCTAACTTGGTATGCCACCTTTGAGGTGTCAAATTCTTCTAGGTGTTGTCTGTTTTTCTAGAACTTGTGAGTCATATAGCATTCCTGGAATAAGCACCTCTTGATCATGACTTGTTATATTTGTAATTTGGTATTCTAGTCTATTTGCTAAGATTTTACTCAGGATTTTTGCGTGTGTGTGTAGTGTTTATTTGGTCTACAGATCAATGATATATCCAGTTCCTTAAAAGATTTCAGAAGTTTTTCTTCTTTTTATATCTCTGGAACACTGTGAAGCCATTAAAATTATTCAGTCTTTGAAGGTTATTAGAGATCCCTTGTAAAACCTTCTGAGCCTGGTGCTTTTTGGAATTAGCACTTTATTTTTTAAAAAAAATTTTAAAGATTTTATTTATTTATTTATTCATTTATTTATTTGACAGACGGAGATCACACACAGGTAGGCAGAGAGGCAGGCAGAGAGAGAGGAGGAAGCAGGCTCCCTGCTGATCAGAGAGCCTGATGCAGGGCTTGATTCCACGACCCGGGGATCATGACCTGAGCCAAAGGCAGAGGCTTAACCCACTGAGCCACCCAGGCGCCCCTGGAATTAGCACTTTAAAAAAAGATTTATTTATCTATTTGAGAGAGAGGGAGAGAGAACACGAGTGGGAGGAGCAGAGGGAGAAAGAGAGAGAATCCCAAGCACACCACACACAGAGCATGGAGCCCAAGGTGGGGCTTGATCCCACAGTGGGTTTTTATCCCACGTCTCTGAGATCACGACCTGAGCTGAAACCAAGAGTCTGACGCTTAACCAACTGTGCCACCCAGGTGCCCCTGGAATTAGCACTTTTAATATTTTATTTCTTCTGTGGAAATTGATATTTTAATCTTTCTTTCTTTACCAGGGTCAATTTTGATAAGCTATATTTTTCAGAAAATTATCCATTTCATTTAGGTTTTCAGTGTGTTTTCAAAGAATTACACAATTAAGACTCATGATATTTTAAAATAACCTTTGATTCAGTAGTTGATCTCCCATTGTCTTATTTCATTTGTACTTTGCTTTCTCTCTTTTACAATGATTAGGTCCATTTTGTTGATTCTTTCACAGAAGTATATTATTTGTTAATTCTACTATTTGGCTTTTAACTCAATTCCTTAGGCTTTTATTTTTATTATTTCCTTCTCTCTACTTTTATTAGATTTACTTTTTGTTTCTTCTTTAACTCTTAAGATAGATATTTAATTCACTTATTGTTATGCTTTCATTTTCATTCTTTTAATCTATGCATTTTCTTTGCTTTGCCTGTATCTCAAAAATTCTGATATATAGGGTTTTCATATCATTTTTCTAAGAAACTCTTCAATTTTAATTTATATTTCTCCATTGACTAACGAATTGTTTAATAACATTTTATTTCCAGATGGAAAAGAACTTGTGCCTTTTGATTTTATTTTTCCATTTTATTACATTGTGATAAGACAATGTTGTTGGTTTACATTATTTTTATTTGAAAGAATTTACTGAAGTTTGGTCAATTTTCATGAATGTTCCACATGTATTTGAAAAGAAGAAATATTCTCTTTCCTAAGGGTGAAGAGCTCAATATGTATTCATAACAACTATCTTGGGATTATGTTGTTTTGGTTATATATACATATGTGTGTGTATATTTACATAATTTCTTTTCTTTTCCAATTTGCCCCTGTGTTGAACTGAGAGTATATCTATGGTCTTTTCTAATTAATGTATTTTCATGTATTTCTCTCCTTATCTCCTGTATTTATGCTTTACGAAGGTTACTGCTGTGTTATTTGAGGCACTTGTGGATGCATTTATATCTTCACTGTGAAGTATGGCCTTCAGTATTATAAAAGTGTCTTTTTGTCTCATTAAGCTCTTTTCCCTCCACGAATTTCATCTTGTCAGATGTCAAGTTCATAATCCTTGCTTTCTTTACACACATTTGTCTGGTAAAGTTTTGCCCATCCTTTCAACTTTATTGCACTTTGTTTTGGAAGTATCTCTTACACTGGGGAGTTGGACTTTGCCTTGCAAGACAGTCTGAAAGCAGTTTTCTTTTCCTAAGTTTGTTAAAGCCATTCATGTTTATTGTTACAACTTAAACACTTGGTCTTAATGCTGTGTGATTATTTAATGTTGTATTTACTCTGCATTTTTACCATGTGCTTTCCATTCTCTGGTCTGTTTTCTTTGCTTTTTAATAAAAGAAATGTTGGTGATTAAAATGATTTGTGCTTTTGTTTTAGTAGTTATCTTTCCACTAATATATTTACATAATGCCCATGTTCTCTTTATTTAGGCTTCTTTTTTTGGTTTGTCTGCATGAAATGATGTCTTTGGTCCTTATCTATAAACTATCTGAAATCAATGAATTTATTCTACTTTTCCATTTTTCCCCTTTTCCTATAATTAAGAAATTATATTATCAGAGCACATAACACCTACATACTACTCTTCCACCTTTTCTCCATCTCTGTCTGTTCTAAGATCTGCAGTTAAATATAATCAGTGCTTACCACAGTCCTTCTAACAGTTTTTTCATTCACTTCTTAATTGGATGAAGGTGGTCTTTGAGTAGATTTCTCATGAAGAGCTCCCCAAATTCTTGCTTGTCTGCATTTCTTCCTCTATAAACAAGCACATGAAAAGATGATCAACATCATTAGGGAAACACAAATCAAAACCATAATGAGATACCGCTTCACACTCACAAGAATGGCTGTTAAAATGGAACAAGGAAAACAACACATGTTGCAGGGAAGTGAGGAAATTGGAACCATTGAACATCACTAGTACGAATGTAAGATCGTTCAGTTCTTATAGAAAACAATTTGGTAGATCCTCAAGAAGTTAAACATAGAATTATCCAAAGACCCACTTCTAGATATACACCCAAAAGAGTTGAAACAGGTATTCAGACAAATCCTTGTATCAAAAGATTCATAGCAGCACTACTCAAAGTAGTCCAAAGGTAGAAAACAACCCAAACGTTCATCAGTGGGTGAGTGGATAAACAAATTTTGGTTATCCATTCAATGGAGTATTATTCAGCCATAAATGGGAATGAAGCACTGGATGCTACAGTGTGGATGAATCTGGGGAAACAGTATGCTATATGAAAGAAGGCAGACACAGGTCACATATTGTATGATTCCATTTATATGACATACACAAATAGGCAAATCCTTTGGAACAGAAAGGAGATGGGTGGTTGCCAAGGGCTGGGGAGAGGAGTGACAGGGTGTAAATGCTGTATGTATACTGGATTTTCTTTTGGACTGATGAAGTGTTTTAGAACTAGATAGAGCAATATTGTGAATGTACTAAATGCCACTCAATTGTTCCCTTTAAAATAGTTTCATATTATGTGAATTTTACCATAGTAAAAATTGTTTTTCAATAGCCTTCATATTTGAAAGAATGTCTGAGTTGGATAAAAAAAATTCCTTGGTTGACACTTTGAGTTCTTGGTAAAACTATTTGACCACTGCTGAGTTTCCTAAGTTGCTCTTGAGAAATCTAATGCCAACCTGACTTCATTTTCTTTATAAAAGCTTTGTTCCTTTGGCCAAGAGGACCAGAAGATTATTTTTCTCTTGATTTTGGCTTGAATGTCAAGTTGGTTTTTTAAAGATGTATTTCAGAGTTGACTGCTTCGAAGGAATTTTCCTCCATGGTGGGTCATTTCAATATGTAGATTCATGTCTTCTTTTATTTCAGGAGCTCTTTCTTGAATTGCAGTATTGTAAGTTTGTCCTATTTCACTGTTTTCTCTTCAGGATCTCTAACTATACATATATTCGCCTATTATATCTATCATTTTCTCACAGGTTCTTTTTGCCTCTTTCATTTCATATTCTTGGGTCCTTTCATTCTAACCATTATGTTCTATTGTTGGCTTTCACTCATATTTATTTTCTCTTAAGTACCTTATAATTTAGCCATCTCAAGGTTAATTTTTCTTTTCTTTCCTAATGTCAGTTCCCATTAGTTCCAGTTTGTCAGTTTCTATTTTGAGTTTTTAAATTCTTGATCCATGTTTTCTCCCCCCATCTGTAAATGCTTGTTTAATTACAAGTAGTTTATGTTGGAATCTAGTATTATATTTTCTTTTGCATCAGGGCTGGTTTTCTTGATTCCTTCTGGGGTTTTTCATCTGAAGTTTTTCTTCAACTTTAAAAAGATGGAAGTATAATGTAAGTTCAGGAATGTAGGTAGCTGATAACCTCATATTTCACTTTCCCCCTGCACTTGCCTTAATCCACCATTGTTAAGCATCTGTCACATGCCAGGGGTTACTGCTTCACTTTCCATAAATAATGTCGTCCTTCTTGCCATCTGATTAGTGAGTGACCAAGTTTCAGAGTCCCATCCGAATGTTCTGCTTTCTAGGGTCACTCCTAGTACATACTCTCATCCCAGGATCCTCAAGAGCAGGGCCTGAAGCAAGGACTTGCATGTGGGAACCTTATTTGGGAAATGATCCCTGACAGAAGAAGGATAGACTAGGAGATATAAAGTGGAAAAGCCAGTGCAAAGTTGTATTATCAAGTTGATCACCTCTATGAGAGATGGGGCTTGATCCTGCTGAAATCCTACAGAATGCACCTCTGGACTGTTCACTGGAGGGATGGACAGGAGGAGTATTTATGCATTAATTCCTGTCTCCCATTGGTCGAGTCCCCTGAGGTGTTGACTTCCTTGTTTGTAAATAAAAGCTGAAGGAGGAGGATGTAAGGTAGGGCCCAAGAAGGGTTTCACACTATTTCCTAAAGGCTTCCACTATTTCATTTAAGTCAGCTCTCAGTCTTAGTGTTGTCTTTTGTCTTTGACTGCTTTTAAGACTTTTTTTTTTTTTTTTGTCTTTCATTTTCAGCAGATTTTCTAGAATGTGGCTTAAGTGGTTTTCTTTGTGCTTACTCAGCCTGGGCATACAGAATGAGGTTGTTCTTGTAATTGTGCCTTATATGCATTCTAAAAAAGTCTTAATCATCATCTTTTGGAATACTGATTCTAATGCCTTTCTTCCTCTCCTGGGTCTTCAGTTATGAAGTATAACTGTGTAGTATAACTTTCCACACAATCCCCCGTCTTTTAATACAACCCCCTTTTTTTGTTACTTTTCATGCCTCAGAATGGATACATTTTTCAAAATGTTTATTTTTAGCAAGGGGTAGAGAGAGAGAGAGAGAGAGAGGGAGGGAGAGCACACAAGAATTTAGAGGGGAGGGACAAAGGCAGAGGAAGAGAGAGATCTCAAGCTGACTTCATACTGAGTGGGGAACCCAACGGACTTGATCTGACAACCTAGAGATCATGACCAGAGCTGAAATCAAGAGTCAGACACTTAGTCAACTGAGCAACTCAGGTGCCCCAGAATGGGTATTTAAAAAAAAAAAAATTTTTTTATAGTCTAGTAAGCCACTTTTCAATTATGTCTGATTTGCTGTTAGATCCACCTGGTGAATTCTTTATTTCATTTATTGTAATTATAGTCTACATTCATTTATAATTTTTACAGTTGTTGTCTTTCAATAATGTCCAATTCTATGTCAAATTTGTCAAGATTGTCTTTAACTCTATTAACATTTTAAAAAAGATTTTATTTATTTGAGAGGGAGTGAGCACAAGTTGGGGGAGGGACAGAGTGAGAGGGAGAATCAGAGTCACCATTGAGCAAAGAGTCCCATGTGAGGCTTGATCCCAGGACTCTGGGATCAGGACCTGAGCCAAAGGCAGACACTTAACGCAGAGCCACCCAGATGCCCCTAACTCATGAACATATTAAACATTGTTTAGAGGTTCACAGATGATGACTTCATTTTCTGAATTACTTGTAGGAGTTTCACTTGTCTGTTGTCTTAGTCTTCAGTCACATGGTCTTGTCTTCTCTTGTACCTAGTTATTTTTTAATGTGTATCAAACATTGTGCATAAAAAATGCAGGGATAATTTGAGCCTGAAGGATTTACTGGGGGTTTAAAAATCTCGTCTTTGGTGGACTCTAAATTTTGTTCTTCAAAGCCCAATGAGTCTGTTGAAAACTCTGTTCCACTTCACACCCATGCTTTTAAATTGGCAGATGCCTCTAGAAGCAAATCAGCTTTAATGTCTGGCTTAACCTCTGGGCTTCCCTTTGTTCCCAGATCTTGCTCCTGTGATTCCTTATAGACCAGGTCACTGGTGGCATTTTGATGTTTTCAAATGCTTCATATATAATGTGTGTGTGTATAAAGTCAGATTTTCTAGTTATTCTCAACAGGTATGCTGGTCCAAACTATCTAACTCATCATTACTAGGGTAGAACTCTATCCTGCCAAAAAGTTTCCTTATTTTCTTATGTAATATGGATACGGGATAGTTAAAGTAAAACTTACTTGTTTTCAATTCTCCTAGACAGGCCAGGAAGGATAATCATATAGGTGGGGAAGAGGTTTGGGTAGCCTGCAGGTTTTCTCAGCTCAAGAGTATCCTCTTCTGTTGCTGCAGTGAATTTGCTTTAACAAATGGCCTCCTTTTAATGAGAATGATACCACTGAATGATATGATCTTGTTCCACTGGGGCCCATAGTTTCAGCTGGTTCTTTCTTTCACTACCATGTCTCCCAAGGATACCTCCCCCTTTCAAAGTGTGTCATTCTCTTCCAGGTGTCTTCCCAACGATACCACTTCTGGTTCTATGCACTTTCCAAGCCCATTTCATTTCTCAAGTAGCCAATAACTCTGACCCACCAGACCTCAGAACTGTTCTCAGCATTTCCCTACTGAACATGGCCTTTGTCCTACTAAGGGAACTTGAGTTCATGTTATCTGTGTTCTACTGCCACTAGAATCCTTTTACACTCTCTTATGTCTAACCCTTGCCTTACTCCCCCTCAGGTGTGGGCTTCTGGGCTGATGTTCATTTCTCCCATTTAGTGTAAAATGAAGTTTGTAGAATTTTCTTTCTCCTAGTTATATAGCAGGAGTGGGTAATTTCTTTTTCTGTTAGAACCCAGAACAGTAACACATATTTTTAACTTTTAGACAGTGTTATTTTTTTAGTTATCTCTTTGCTATTTTCTAATTGTACTGCATTTTGCTTAGAGAAACAGTTTACAAGATTTCAATTCTTTGGAAATTGAGACTTCCTTTGTGGCTGAATACATGGTTGTTTTTTTTCTTTTTTTTAAATGTTCCATGTGTGTTCTATATTTGCTTGAGTTTAGTAAATATATTAAGCACATCTTCTAGACTTAAATTTTTTTGATCACAATTACAATCTAGTAAAACTGATGTGGCCATAATATTTTGTCCATAGTTCTATCAACTTGTTGCGTCACGTACTTCAAGGCTATACTGTTATGTGTACATATGTTCAAGTTCATTAGATCTTTGACCTGTTGTTCCTTTTACTGGTATAAATCGTCCTTCTTTGTCCTTTGTTTTCCACCTTGCATTCTATTTTGCCTGTTACCTTGCTTCAATGTCAACAGAAGATATCTATCTCATTTTATAGGATGTTTTGGCTTTCTTGGCTCCCGCATCTTGGGGGTATGTGTAGTCTGTTTTCTTCTTCAAATTATCCAATTTCTCCTACTGTTAATGATAGCATGTGTAACTCGGACAAAACACATTAATGCCAAATAAAGTTTGCTTTTAATGACACATTTCCTTAAAAAAAAAAAAAAAGTCCTTATGCTTCAGCTCCTTACCAGTGATTCCTGAGAGCTTTCTGAGTTCCAGTCTCTGTTGCTTCACTACAAAAAGCAAAGACACAAAAATTAGCTTGCTGTTCACTCAGTTTCATAATGGCTAAAAGTGCTCCTGTCATATTAAATTAAGAAAAGTCTTCACACAAAGGCACATTTTGGGAATGTCATTGGAGCTCTCACCAATGCTGGTATCTAAAGAAGTGGTTGTAGCACAAAATAAGAGAAAGGAAAAAAATGTGCCTTGATTGACATAAAAATTAGTAGGGGGACAGACAGATGGGAGAATATAGGTATAAACAGAACAGATGACAGAAAGAGGAAGATCAAGATGGCGAATTTGACTTACAAAGAAAACCAGTGGTGTTCAGTTAAGAGGGGTGATGTTGTTACAGGGATGAGAAAGGTCAATCTCAACAGAGAGTGAGAAGGGGCAAAAGGTAGAAGAGAAGCCTTCTGGTGTCCACCACAGAAAAGAGGCCACAATCTGAGAGAACCAGATTTTTACTTCAGAAAAACTGAAGGAGAAACATGGTTTAAAGATATAAGTCTGTTATGTGGAAAATGAGAGGGTAAGAACAGAAGGTGTAACAATACCAGGAACATGGGCTCAGTTTTCCAGGTTAGACTGTCAGGTTCAGTCCACTGGTGGCTCTTCGAAATGGAACAAAAACAAACAAACAAAACAAAACAAAACAAAAACAAAAACAAAAACAATCTATCTTGCAAGATAAAAGAAATTAGGATGAGAGATATTTCTAATTCTGTATTTTCAGTTTTTAAAATACTTGTTTCTGTAGCTTTGATTTTTTTAGCTTTCTGGTTGACCTAGAGGTTGTTTTTGTTCTGAACAAAGGGGATGTAAAGCTGTTTGTTTCCATTCATGGATCTAATTAGGCATGTTGTCCAATCTATAATAAATCATGGGCTTAGATTTTCTTTGTCAAGGTAGTCAGAGGCCTTCAGGCATGAGTGACTTATTGAAATGTACTCTCATAGTTGGGGATAAATTATCATCCTGATATTGTCAATCACTCGATAATTTGATATCCCTAGAGCTCTCCCTTGGTTATTCTGTACTACCCAAAGATGGCATTTTATTTTCATATTTGGTCACAGGCATGATTCACATTTTGCTATCGAGTGAATAAGGAAATAATTCCAAATTTAGCAATGGTGGCAGCTTGACTAAAAACCGTTATTTTCCATATCCACAAAAATGTTAATCAGATTCTTGTTAGAACATGTGTAAGAAGTGGTTTTCATTGTCACAGCTCTTGATGTCAGATTACTAAAATAATTTATGTTTTGTTGTGGGAACGTGGATGCACGCAGAACCCCCCCAAGTCACATGACCACCTCTGAGCCCACACTTCTTCATAACACATAAAAAGTATTTGTGTTTTGTGGTAACGAATGAACGGCAGGAACAGCAGAATTTCAATGTGGCTGTTCTTTATTTGATTAAATATATTCTCTATTTATTCTTAAAAAAACTAATTTAACTTAAATGGCAATAAACCATGATAATTTAGAAAACATGTTGAAATTGAGAGTGAAGAGAAATGTTCTCTATGTAAACCGCACTGTAAACCATAAAACTTATTTTTGTCAACTGCTTCTCATGACAGTGGCTGGGAATTTGACATTTCTACTACAGTAGGCAAAAAACCATGTAAAATACACTCTCCCACACACCACATCACATCTCTATTTATATTTCCAAACTAAAAGCATTACAGACCCCAAAAGTGCTGAGTGTACTGTGTACATTTACACCAAGAGCTGTAAGTCCATAAAAATCTTGCCTTAAACTGGTGTATTAGTGTGCTAAGGCCACCGTTGGTGCCCTCTCTCCTGCTCGCCATGCTTAATGGTTCAGGCTTGGCGCACCAAGAGAAACCATTGCTCTGTAATCCAAAAAGGTAGTGAGTTTTTTCAATGAACTCTGGTCAACATAAGACAACATAAAAAACTCTTCTCGAACAGATTATGAAACCCACTTGAAGCATCCACATGATGGCATTCAATACCATTTACCCCACTTCAAAATATGGCAGCAGCTGTCTGATTACTTAAGAAGATGAGCTTTGTAAGAATTTACATAGTTGGAAGGTGCATTATTTTAAAACGAGGAAAGGAATCTTTAATAATCTCTACAGCAAACATGAATGTGACAGAAACATGGCTAGTTCTCTAATCATATCTGAGGTATACATTCCACCCAGCTGACGAGGTCTCAGAAGTTCCCTAATAAAGACTCCCCCTCTCTACTTAAAGATCATAAGAAGTCAGTGCAATCCGGTTCTTTTCCCTGCAGAAAGGGTATTTAGTTTGGGATGTAACGTTTTAAAACAATAATACAAACCTCCTGGGAGAATACCACAATAAATGTCTCAAAAACCACTCAGTTAACCCCAGGGTATAATTCGGCTGTTTTAAATTACTGCAGGGAATATTATGGTCCTTAATGACACCGTAACTGCATGAAGCCAAAGAAAGCTAGAAAGCGAGGCCAAAAAGATGAGCTCAGAGCCAGCTGAAGTGACAACAAACATGTGGCTGTTTACTAGGATTGGAGAGGTTTAGTCTGCAGATGTTTGTGGTCTCTAGAAGGTTCCAGAGGAATGAGTTATTATGAAGACTTGCAGAGTTTGATGAGAGCAAGATTCTTCTTGGAGATGGCGGGCCCCAGACAGGGAGGCCCAATGGTAGAGAGAGAATTTATAGATTTCTGTGGTCAGATCGTACTCTACTGGTCCCACAATGTACATCAACAAATTAATATTGTACGGATGTCATTTCAAAGCCTCCTAAAGACGAGAGTCATTATTGAAGCCATTAGAGCACAGATGGTTCAAACTATATGCAGATATTCATACTTGCATTTTTGCATTATAGCTGCTTTTTTTTTTCTGTTGAACTGTAATGAATTGTCTCATAATCTATTCCATCTTCTTGCCATTAGCAGGCTTTGAATGTTCACAAATAGGAGCAAAGAACTCATTTTCCAGAGCTTTAATCACACAAAGAGGGAATGCCTAATTCTCTAAATGAAATGGTCTGTGATCACTGAAGCAGAGATTTAATATATCACGGCAAATTAGGTAGATTTTAATAAATTACTTATCTCCCTGAATACTTTACATATGCTTAAGAAGGAACATAGCCTGTTTGCAAACAGTGAAAACCCACAGCCTATAAAAATCCTTTGAAGAAAATGACAAATAAAAAAGTAAATTAAAAAATGAAATGCATTATATCCTAGACCTCCAGAGACAATTCCTTTGCAGCATTGATTCACAGCTCCATTAAAAATATCAATTAAATCCTTCAGTGAGATTGGGTAAAAGCTAGAAAATTAACTTTCTGAGCTGCTTTTCGAGGATCTGGTTATCCAGATACACCCCACCATTGTACAAGCTTGATGTAAATTTAAAAAATGATAAAAAAAAGATATTCCTTTCAGGTCTAACTAAGCATATCAGAATTTGAGCCATACTTTTAATAATTTCTTTCTGTATCATAAGCTAAGTTTTCAAAACATGAATTTCATGTATATACATACATGTACCTGTCTATCCCCTCTTTATACACACACATCCCTGGATCCCATATCACCACTACAGATCCATAAAAATCATACAAATAGGAAGAAGTGTGATTTTTAAGAAAGAAAACCAAAAACTTGCAGTAATTTAATAAGTTGGTGCCAAGTCTCATTCTTTATATTTAATTGATAGAAACTGCATGCATCAAAGAAGATGCATACTGAGCTTTAATGTGCATAAAATGGATATTAGCATTTTAAAGAGGAAGATTAACACATTAATCCAAGTAATTTTCATATATTGCTTCTAATAAAATCTTCACAGTATAAAACTCTTAATGAGGCTAATCATAGGCATTCCATTTAGTGGGACGATTAGGGATAACATAAAAGTATTTCTTTTCATAGGTTTTCTTTTTTTTTTTTAAGATTTTATTTATTCATTTGACAGACAGAGATCACAAGTAGGCAGAGAGAGGCAGGCAGAGAGAGAGAGAGGAGGAAGCAGGCTCCCCACAGAGCAGAGAGCCCGATGTGGGGCTCGATCCCAGGACACTGGGATCATGACCTGAGCCGAAGGCAGAGGCTTTAACCCACTGAGCCACCCAGGCGCCCCTTTTCATAGATTTTCTAAGATTTATCCTTTTTGCTTATTAAAAAATAAAAATGGGACTAGCATGTCAGTTCTTCATACGAAAGTGTTGAAAATGCAAATAGGCTTTCTCATGCTATCATGTAGGTATAAATTATTGAGGAGGTACTGCCCATGGTGGAGAACTGAAGTCCTGAGGGGTGGCAGTCATGGGAAGGAGGGAATAGAAAAATAAACAGATGGAAAAGTATACAAAACTTGACCACTACAAACCCAGGGCTCCCCCTCCCTGCGTCCCATGAATTATAGATTATATACACCGGAGTAATTACAGAAATCTCCTCTCCGAGCTTTCATGTGAGCGTTTACTCAGGAGCAGGACATGCCTCTGGAACAACTTCTTTCAGCCTCCAAGTCATCTCTGTGTTGCTCGTAGACGGACCGGAGGGCATGGAGTGCTTCGACGGTTACCCTGAGCTTGCCGATAGGTCCACCACCTCCCCGTGCATCGAAGACTGGGGAGAAAAATGGCCGAAAAGTGTTACTGTCATTCAACAGATTTTTCTATAGATAGACTACCTGAAATGGGAATTGCAAACACGAAGACGGCTCTTTAAAAGTCCAAAGTTCACTGGCATCTCAGAAATCTGTAAATTAGGGGCACCTGGGTGACTCAGTGGGTTAAGCCTCTGCCTTTGGCTCAGGTCATGGTCTCAGGGTCCTGGGCTTGAGCCCCGCATCGGGCTCTCTGCTCAGTGGGAGCCTGCTTCCCCCCACTCTCTTCCTTCTCTCTGCCTACTTGTGATCTCTGTCAAATAAATAAATAAAATCTTAAAAAAAAAAAAAGAAATCTGTAAATTAAAGCCTGTCCTGCATGTAGGAAGATACACATTTCAGGTCTATCACGTGTGCACATACTTATTGCCTGTGGAGTTAAGACTCCTGCTCGCTCCTGAAGCTGACCTCGTGGCAAGGCTGTAGGATGACGAGTCCCACACAGGTTTAGAATTTCTAAGTTAGAAGAAATAAAGTCTAGAAGGGATAAGATACGACAATTCCCCCCCTTTTTTTTAAGGAAATCTTTAAAATAACTGGGTATACAAAGACTTGGGTGGAGACCTGAGCAGGAAGGGAGGTCATGGGGCACCAGAGGTTTCCCAGCTCATTCCCGAGTTTCCTTACACCTCTTCTTTGGGACTCGTCACTGCTCTGTCTGGCATAGAACACAGCACTAAAATCCTGACCTGACACCCGAGTGTTTAATTTTTTTTGACTCTCCTTCAAAACACGGCCACAGGAGCTGTCTGGGACAGATTAGTGTGGCGACACGTGGGTTCTCAGAATGGGAAGATGGGCTGCTAACCAGAACGAACGGGAGAAAAGCTGAAGAACATAAAGCCTAGATCATTTTCATCACTTTTCTCAGGCTTTCTTGGTTCTGGCTGTCTTTCGGAGGGTTTAGGTTAATATTTTAATCCTCTCCTCTTTTTCTGTGCCAAAGTTGTGACAAACTGTCACGTAGCTAGATATGGGTAGTTTAGAAAGATTTCCCAGGATAGGTTTCCAGTTTGGTTAATCATCTGGCTTGATGCCGACCTGTGAGCAGGTAACACATATACAGGACAGAGAGCTTGACACGGGAACCGCAGCTGAACTGTGGGGGAACAGCGTCTGGCACTTAAGAGGTGCTCACATAAGTGTTCACTGGATGCACGAACAGCTAAGGAAATCAGCCGTGTACAGTCTACCTACCGGAGATACTCTGCTCACTTGGCAAATGTGACTAGGACTCAGCCTCATCTGTCCATTTACTGTGTACAGCCCTGGCTATCCTCATCAGGACTGTGGTTTTTTAAAAAAAGATTTTATTTATTTACTTGACAGACAGAGATCACAAGTAGGCAGAGAGGCAGGCAGAGAGAGAGGGGAAGCAGGCTCCCCGCTAAGCAGAAAGCTCGATGCAGGGCTTGATCCCAGGACCCTGGGATCATGACCTGAGCTAAAGGCAGAGGCTTTAACCCACTGAGCCAGCCAGGTGCCCCCCTCATTATGACTGTTAAACGGCTGATTCATAAAGCACAATTCCTTGAGCATGTTCCAAGTATGTTTGATGAGAATCTGGAGGGTAGAAACTAAGCCCTGATGGGACTCATGCCTTTGAGGCGACAATCCAGGAGAGTACATTTTGTCAGAAATCCTTTGCTTCTCTCTGAATCCTGCTAAGAAGTAAGTGACCATTATGACTTGGAGTCATTTGCAGTGGCTGTATCACTGGATTGTAACACTGAATTAAAGAGAAGCCTTACAAAAGACACCATAATGATGACTCAGAATAACATGCCTGGGCTGAAATAAGGCTTGACAGCACGAAGTTTCCACAAACAATGTTAAAAAAAAAAATCCAATGGCCACTTTTTTGTCACACACTCATCCCCAATACTAACAAAATGAACAATTCCTTGTGAAGTGCAATTAATGATTTTAAAATTTCTGTTGATTGAAAGGAAGGCAGAGGGAGAGGGCAAGGGAGGGAGGGAGTGAAAAGCTTCCGACTTCAAAAAAAAAAAAAAAAAAAAAAGCTGGAGTTACAAAGGAGTCGACCAATGTGGGACTCAACGTCCCTGCAGCCAGCAAAAAAGAAGGTTTTAATAAAGAATTTGGATTTCAGCATTTGTTGTACAAATTGAGCAATACTTTCACTCATACCATCGATATTTTGCTCGATGATGTCTCTCCCTTCCTGAAACATGTCAGCGAGGTCAATGTTAGCAATGCCAATGTCCTCGCACTCCAGATCCTGTTCATCCTCTGGAGGGTCACTGACCACGGTGAAGCGGACACTGAGAAGGGAAGAAAAAAAAACAGAAAATCCCCACAAAGTGAGGAAAAATCACCATGAAACACAACTCCCAAATGGGGTTTTATCACTAAGTATGAAATCTTGAAGTTTCCAATTATTCCAATAAAAAGCAAATTATATGAGGTTAGATAAGTTATTGCATGAACTACTAGAATTATTATAGCACGCCGAGCCTTCAAATGAACATAAATCCACTTTTCTGAGCGCCGATTAACATTTAACTCTAGAATCTGAGAAAATTACTAGGCAAAGAGAAGAACCAGATGTTCTAATACACACTATCTGATCGTATTGTGACACATCGACTTTTAAGGCTAAAAGGATCAAGTGAATAAAGGCTATGGAGATCAGGGCACCATTTTCAAAAGAAATGCAACATTTTCTACAGAAATGTACAACTTCAGAGTGGCTACCAAGCAATTTATCCAACTCTCTGCGTTCTCTGGAATGTAGGGACCATGCTCCCCAGTAACATTCTGAGTCACATTAGATAAATACTGTCGCTCTGCCCAACAGCTACATGGAATGTTTGTACTACTTCAGCAATCTTTTAACTTACAATCCTAGCATCCAATTTTTATTTTACTTTAGACATAATTGTAGGGTTCCAATGGAACTGATTTGAATTAGTGGCTTGTGCTGAGGCCAAACACACTTGGATTGACCAAATGACAGGAATTTACAGTTAAGTACTCTTTTGATATGTCTTGGCAACGGAGCTTAAACCATGGATACTTGTAAACTACCATTTTAACCATTTTCAAAATGTAGCCATCCCAAATCAGAAACCAAACAAGAAACTTGTTTCTTAGATCACATTTTGAGATGAAAATCTAAGTCTCGGAGAAATCATGCCTTGAGCAATACGTGCAAATAAAATCCTTTCCAAATACTTACAGGTAAACATGATAGTATTTTTAACTAATTTGTTGAAAGTAAGCATTTGACATTTCATTCCTTTACTGAGACCCTGTTTTTAGCCAGCAATAAACTTTGATTAGAAGATAGAAATCCCAAGATGCCTGGGTGGCTCAGCTGGTTAATTGTCTGCTTTTGGCTCAGGTCATGATCCCAGGGGTCTGGGACCAAGCCCTGCATCGGGCTCCCTGCTCAGCGGAGAGCCTGCTTCTCTGTCTGTCTGCCACTCCCCCTGCTTGTGCTCTCTCTTTCTCTGATGAAAAAATGAAATAAAATCTTAAAAAAAAACCAAACAAACCAGAAAATAGAAATCCCTTTCCCTGAAACCACAGGCAACACTTACTCACACAATAATTGTGAAGAATACAGATCCTGATTTGTAAGTGGATGACTATTTTATATGATGCATTAAACAAAGGGATTAAGATGGAGTGGTTAAAGGGCATCCATTGTGAGTTCAAATTTAGCTATCCCACTATTAGCTATATAATGTTAGACACATTACTAAGCCTCTCTGTTCTTTTTTTTTTTTAAGATTTTATTTATTTATTTGAGATAGAACGTGAGAATGGGAAAAAGAGAGCATGAGAGGGGAGAGGCCAGAGGAAGAAGCAGGCTCCCTGCTGAGCAGGGAGCCCAATGAGGGACTCGATTTCAGGACTCTGGGATATGACCTGAGCCGAAGGCAGCTGCTTCACCAACTGAGCCACCCAGGCTCAGCCCCTAAACCTCTCTGTTCTTATCTGTAGAACAGGAAGGGCTCTTTTGGGCATCAAATGAGATGATACATATAAACAGTGCCCGGAACATGGTAAACATCGAGCAAATGTTTGCTCTTTTATTACTACGATTTTTAATCTAGGTAGAGCTGCTTAAGCAGCTACATTTCTAACAGAAGAGAAAAAGAAGACATGGGGAAGACTTGTTTCAATTGAAAACTGTGATTGCCAAATTATACAATGACTGTATCAGTCAGTTAAATAAGAAGAATGGTGATGAAAGTAATTGTCCTAAAATGAATATGCTTGGAAGAGTAGGAATTACAAGTGATATCTGATGCACATTTTACATCCACAAGACTTACAGAAAAGCTAGAGGCTAGGCAGATCGTACTAATATTGTTAAGTGTTCTCCTCCTATAACGTGTCATATTTAAGGATCGTATCTCTATCACTTTACAAATGCAGTCCATTACCTCCACTGAACATATGAGAATTCTGAGACAAAAAGGGGGGGGGGAAGCCCTTCTAAATGCCAAGGAAAGGGTTAGAAACCAATATTCAGTACTCCTAGCTTTAAATTCTATGGAGAGCAAAATGAGATGTCAAATACGAAATTAAGAAATTATGAAGTTAAGCTAAAAAGGGAAGAAGGTACGCTCAAATAATCTGAAAGCTACAATTTGGCTTCGGCTCAACAGCACACGAGATGCTGGGTTTCACCTGTAAGCCTGCCAAACAAAGAGGTGTGTCTTGTTCCGTGTCCTGAAGAGGCTTCCAGGCTACTTGGAGGATCGGGGCAGACACGCGGCGTAGATGTCAAACACCCACAGAGAGGTGGGACTGGAAGGACCTCGGGAGATGCTCCTGCCTCCCCTTCTCCCCTCTCCCTCCTGCAGAACTCTCCCCTTGCTGACCTCCCTTGCCGGGTCCTAGACAGAGACCTCTATGTCTTCCTGCAGGCCCTTGGTTCCCTCTGCCAGTGAAGATCTTCTTTGCGCAGTTCATGATCGGACTGGGTCTTCTCGTCCCCTCACTATCCAGCTTACTGTCCTCTCCTCAGACTCACTGTCACCGTTACTTTCTATGTGAGCAACTTGTTTAACCTTTCTCTTAGCACTTACTGTAAAATGTAATTGGTTTATTTGTTTACTTGTTGCTGTCTGTCATCCTCAGCGGGCTGGAAACGCCCGGAAGTGCAGGGACACCGCCTTGTCAAGCATCTCGCTCCCGATACTTACGTAGGGGATCATAAAGATTGTTGAAACACTACACGAAGGCTTCTTGTTGAAGCCTGGCTCATTTGAAGCAGGTCTGCTGGAGGAGGCAGGCCCTGGGCTGAGCATCAAGATCAGACCTCAAATGTCACCTGCTGCTATCTAGGAAATCAGAGAGCACTAAAACTCCCTATATCGTTTAACATTTTTGATTCTCTGAAATAATTTCTTTTCATATAAAACAGGATAGAAGATGACCCTAAGGGTTACCTCTGAGCTTTACCTACTGGAATGCTGATGGTTATGGTGGATCTGCTCAACAGCACAGGATAAAGAGAAGAAAGGAAACCAAAAAAGAACCTTAAGTCAGTGTCAACATGATGACTTCAAATATTTTTTAAGTCCTTGCTTCAAGGAGTTACCTCCCTTTGAAGGTGACACTTGTATACTCGCAAATATAGGCAGGGCCAGGCGCAAAGGTACTGCAGGTAATTCGTTATACGATGTACATAAATGTATGCACGTCAGGAAAGACTGGCCAACTTCTCTAACTGTGCCTTGTAAGCTGTCTCCAGTATTCAAGAGGGCTGCTGCCTAAGAACATGAGTTCTTATAAACTAGCAGGTACTTTAAACCATGTAATGTAACCTGTAAATTTTTGCAAAAGGTGAGAACACCCATGGGAGTGTTTGGCTGTGGGAACATGTAAATATAAACACCCCCTTTCTCCTGAAGAAAATGATACTGTCAGGGAGAAAAGGAGGCATGCCCATTATATCCTGTGATGGCCCCATTCCCGCCACAGTGGGCAGTGGTGTGGTCAGTGGCAGGCACCGCAGCACTCTGGGCATGTACTCAGCCCCCATCCCTTGTCGTCACTCTGTGCCTCAGCTGCCTCTTTTGGTTTTTCTCAAAATGACATGAACATGTGTGTCTCTGGGGGTCATTTGGAGATTTTTAGAGAAACAAGGATGGGTCAGTGGAAGTCATTACATTTACTATGGACTTTTAAAGAAAATTTAAAACAATTTTGCTACAAGGAAGTAGGTCTTCTGAGGAAAGGCAGGTCTACATTTAAAGCAGAATCTGTCTTTTTAAAAATAACCACTTCTAAGGAAACAAAATTGCTCTTCCCTGATGAGGAGTGCTACTTACAATATGTTCTAACCTTCCAGAAACAAAGTGAACACACAGGTAGACAATCAGACTGTGAAGACTGAGAAGTCCAGCCCAGCGCTTGCCCATGGAAACAGAGCTCAGTCCCGGACAGTAACGACCCAGCCTGTTGGCTGCAGAGAGGCAAGTGACATGGTCAGTGCTGTGTAAGCACTTGTGACCTGGGACAGCCCTGGAACTCTGATGGCATTGAGGAGGCCTTGAAAGAAGCTCAACTATACAAAGTACTTAAGTAAAACCTGAATGATTATCTACCATGCTGGGCAAGACAGAACTTCAGCCTCATTAACAAGGTTTTTAGCATACTTTCTTCAGAACTGAGATCCAAAGAATTGATATATGTATTTTAAGGAGTTAATGAAAAAGCTACTCTCAGCTCCTAAGAGCTAAGAATCCCAGTCTCCTTTCTTAAAAGGGAAGATCAAATGCTAGTTTGCAAGCTCTTTTGAAAAACAGAATGTCAAAAAAAAAAAAAGAAAGAAAAGAAAAAAAGAAAAAAGAAAAACAGAATGTCTTGGGGCACCTCTCTGGCTCGGTCGGTGGAGCACGCGCCTCTTGGTCTCAGGGTTGTGAGTCTGAGCCCCATGCTGCGTAGAGAGGTTACTCAAAAATAAAAACTTAAAGAAAAATAAAAGAAAAATAGAATGTCTTTAACCTTCCCTTCATGCCCTCTAAGAAATGGGAGAACTTGAGCCTCTTTCTACGATGAGCAGGGGTGAGATCTACTTCGGAGGCACTAGAAGTGTCATCTGTGGGCCAGAAAGGCAAGGAGAAGATGACGACAGAGAGATAAAGGGTCCGCCCTGGCCATGGGAGGAGAGCCAGCAAATGGGCTGATGGGCAGCACCTTACAAAACTCCTCAAAACTGTACACTTGGGAGCTCGCACGAAAGCAGGAAGTTACTAAGACCAGGGATTTTCCTTCTTACAGGGGTATCATTTCTCTACCAAACCAGAATCCAAAATCTTCTGTTCAGATTTGGAAAAAAAAAAAAAGGCATTAAAAATAACATGAAATGATGAATAATTAAACAATGATAGTAAAGTAAAATGAGTCTAGAAGGCTGATGAGCTAGTACAAGTAATAATATTGACATTGCTGCTACTACTAACATCGATGACCAGGAACACTTACTGCATACTCTTGTGTCATGTTCTATTCTAGCCATCCCACCTCTATCATCTCCCTGAAGCCTCTCGACCACCCTATCTGGTATCATCTCCATTTTCCAGATGAAGAACATGAGGCGGAGGGTGCTTGTCCCAGGTCAGCTTATAAGTGATGAAACAAGAATCTGTGCTCAAGCCACGTGGCTCCAGAGGGCGCCCTCCTAGCAACTGTGTCATGCTCTTTACAGTTAAACTTGAACTCTAATGGGATACTAGATAAAAACACCATATGGTGTTTTGGTTTGCAAAGCCCTGTCAGATCTTTACAGTTGCTCCGCACGGTATGCAGGGCTACTCTGTTTCTAGGAAGAAAGAAACCGAGAGGAAACACACTCATCCCAGGACACAGGGTGAATCAGAGAAGTCAGGGGTTCTGATTCTGCTTCTTGAGCTTTCTTGCACCACACCACGCTACGGAGACCTGCTTTACAGGAACCATCCAATAATGTAGAGTGCTTAAATGTACCTTCTGTAAGGCAGCTCTTGTTTCAGTAGTATTGCTTTTAAGATGTCTCTCTTTGCCTGGTTGTTCTCTTTATCCGTGTAGATCACTGTACAAAAAAAAAAAAAAAAAAAAAAAAAAAAAAAAATACAAACAAACCCAGAAAGAAGTCACTCAGGAATATGTTACGTTAGTACCATTCTGTATTTGTATAAATACCTGTTTTTAGAGACACAAGCCGTGCCACCTCACTTGTATGCCTGGGAAAAGAAAGCAGCTCTGGAAACCAGAATCAAATCTGAGCAGTCATGTGATCTAATGTCATGTCACGGGCGGGTTTGTGTGCACGCTGTCAGAAAGGATACAAGCAACATCTAAGAGTGCCACATTGCTGTCACTGCCTGTTAATGACACTGGCAGTCATGACAGTAAAAGCCAGCGGTCTTTATTGCTTTGTATTTGAGGGATTTACTGCATTTTCTCTTGCCCAGGATGCGAGTGATAATGATAATGTATGGCAGAGAGCTTGTCCTTCCTGACAGCCTCCGTAATTTAATCCTTCTTTCCTGCCACAACATGCAATAAAAGAAGCATCTGGTGTATTGGGTTGAGGAAATCCATAGGCTGATGTGTGCTGGTGTTGGGGTGGCAGGGGGACGGGAGGGAAATGAAGGAAAGAGAGAGAGGGTTTTCAGGGCAAGAAGTTCGTCTTTGGTTTTTAACGGTGCGTGTTGGGGGTGGGGGGGCGCTGGGGTGGCTCAGTTGGTTAATCATCCGACCTTTGGTTTGGGCTCAGGTCATGATCTCAGGGTCATGGGATGGAGCCCTGCGTCAGGCTCTGCACTCAGTGGGGGTCTGCTTGGGGATTCTCTCTCTCTCTCCCTCCGTCCCAACCCTGCTCACACCTGCATGCACTCTCTCTCTAAATAAATAAACCTTAAAAAAAAAAAAAGGTGCACGTTGGCATGCAGGAATGTGGCCAGACTTTACTAGGCCAAAATAGGAGTTGAGATTGCTGATCTAAAGTCCCACCAGGAAGAGGGCGACGAACACTGGAAACCGTACATAAGTGCCTGCCCTTTGGGAAAATGGCATCTCAGAGAGCAAACACCAATTTTCAACCTGATTATTTTTTCTCAGCTCAGCAGCCATTCAGCAAGCCTTAGCTTCTGGAGACATTTCTTTTTCAGATGCCATTTTGGAGGTAAAGTGTCCCCTGTGACCAGACCTCAATTTAGAGACTATCCCTAATAAAAAATACAGGAAGGGTGAAAGATACCGTGACAATTCCAAAGCCAGACTCCGCTGGGAATGAACATATTTCATCCTGAGAATGTTTCCCTGGACCATTTTAGTCCAGTCTCAAATGATGATACAATTCATTTAATCATTTGGCTCAGCTGACATGCTGGGCACGGAGTTAGGCACGCAGGGTGGGAGACACATCAGTGTCTGTCTAGGCGTGGGCTTGAGAGAAGTGAGAACCAAGGTCACACAGCGGCTCTTAGCTTGTTGCTGTTCCCACGATGCAGTAACAGTAAATGTGATTAATTATACAGGTTACTGAGATTTATAGGAGTCAGAAAAGACAAAAGGTTCAGAGTATTTTGTAAGTATAGTGCTTTGCTTATCAATGCTAAAAAGGTTTTCTAAGAGATGAGTTCCACTAATGCTGGGAGACTGGACTCATTTTGGCCACCAGTACACCAAGCCAAATGGAAATTTTTTTTTGGTTTTGTTGTTAATAACCAATTCGAAATGCGGTTGACCATATCTTTTTGACTTCAGAGTTCTAAAGCTTAATGGTCATCATGGTCTACAGTATTATTTTTTGTGTGTGTGATAATTTTTTGGATAATTTCCCCCCTAGTTTTACTGCGATAAAATTGACTTAAAACATTTTATTAATTTTAGGTGTATAACATAATGATATGATATGTATATGATATGTAATATGTACATATTACAAAATGATTACCAAAATAAATTTAGTTAATATCCATTACCTCACTGAGTCACACATTTTTTTCTTCTGGTAAGAACTTTTTAAAGACCCGCTCTTAGCAACTCTCAAATACACAGTAGAGTCTTGTTAACTATATAGTGTTCCACATTATTTGAAGACATGAGTTATCTCAGTGATTAAAAACAAAAAAGACTGAATTCAAAGTCCAGCATGCAGATAGTTTTCCAAATAAATTAGGCCAGTTCTGACAACTCTCAATAGCTTGAAAATAATTTTTTTCATTTTTTTAAGATTTGATCATATTAATTTAATTTTTTAATGTGGCTGTAAAATTCATCATTTTAACCATTTTTAAGCATATGTTCAGTGACATTACATTCATACTGTTGTACAACCATGACTACCATCCGGCTCCAGAGTTTTTTTTTCGTCCCAAACTAAAACTCTCTCAGGATCCCCCAGGCCCTGGTAACCTCTATTCCACTTTTGGTCTCTATGAACCGGACTCTTCTAGGTACACTTCTAGGTACCTCTTATTAAGCAGAACCATACGATATCTGTCCCTTTGTGACTGGCTTATTTCACTTAGCATAATGTTTTTCCAGGTTCATCCTTGGCATGTGTCTGAATTTCACTCCTTTTTAAGACTGGATAATGTTCCGTTTGGATATACAGATTGTGTTTATCCATTCGTCTGCTGAAGGACATTTGAGTTGTTTAGGTTGTTAACACCTTTTGGCTATTATAAATGATGTAAATAATGCTGCTATGAACACGGGTATTCAAGCATCTGTCAGAGTGCTTGCTTTCAACTCGTTTGGGTAAGTATACAGAAGTAGAACTGCTGTACCATATGGCAATTCTTTGTTTAAATTTTTTTTAAAAAAACATCTTTTTCACTGAAATTGGTAAAAACAAAATGGTCTAGTTGGGCCACCTTCTGCTTCTGCTTCTTGCAGTTGGCCAGCACACCGTATTTCCAGTTCTCTTAACAATGATACAAACAGAGACAGCCATCCTTTAGCGACTGATATTTATGTGCTAAGTACTACACTAAGTACACTAAGTAGTACTAAGTACTACACTCAATACTTTTCTTATGGCAATCACATGTGTTAAGAACCATGCTGTCCCACATTTGATGGATGATTAAACAGATCCAAAGAAGGTAAATAATTTGCCCAAGCTCACCTATTGAGAAAGGGGTAGAAAAAGCCTCTGAATCCAGCAAAATCTGCCTCCAGAGCCTACCTTCCTAATCTCCGTGATAGAACTTCTTCTTCCATATGAAGCCAAAACTTTTCCTGATGTTTAAGCTGCAACCATATCTTCAGCACAGATGGGAGTGAGAGAGAGAGCTCTATACCCGTATCAAGGGAAGCCACCTGATCCTCCTTTCACTCTTTCACAAAGGGATCTTGCTTGGGTACAGCTGGTCCAGGTGCCTTCAACAACTCTCTCGGGCTGAACACTTTTTAAAATTCCTTTCTGAAAAAACTCAAGCTCCTTACCCATCAGCTTACTTCTCCAAACGTACACCAAATGTGAAGTCCAGCTCTCCTGCTTGCATAAAAAATGCCTAGAATACAGACATCTTAATGTGCGCCTGCATCCCTGGGAGGGCTGGTTAGAATGCACATTAATGAGCTCACCCTGAGTTTCCAATTCAGCAGGTTTGGGTTAGGGCCTGAGAATGTGCATTTTTTATCCTCACAGCAGCTACTGCTGCTCCTGATCAGGATGTCACACGCTGAGAACCACTGTGTAGCTCAACATCCCTTTGCATAATTTTTGAGTAGGATCAGCAACCAGTGAACACTTTTGTGTTGAACATGTGAGAATCAGGACACTGGGGCCACCTCTAGATCACAGTCCTAAGGACATCCATTTGATGTTCTGGAACTAGACAGTTAAAAACAAAACCTACAGTTTCAAAACTTCAAATAGATCTTTTAAAAGACAATTCTGGTGATTTGAATATCAGAACTCTCTAAAAATTAAGCTATTCATCTTTTATTCTCATTAGAAATGACAATTGTTTAGGACTCGCTAGATTTAGACAAAACTTACTGAAAACAGGTAACTCAAAAAAGGTACAAAGTAGTAGTCCAAAAACACAAGCTGATGTTGAATTGTATACCACTAAGAACCTATAACTTCTGCAGTTTGGAAAAATCCTTACATTCTTTGTCAGTGTCATTCAGCAGAAGAAATGGAGATGGCTTAATTACAAAGGGTTGATAAACTTCAATCTCAGAAAACTTTTTGTGTTGGAGTGTCATCATTCCCCTAATCCTTATCTTTGCCAAATTTCCCTTCCTATTAGTGACAAAAGGTACATTCTACATTGTTTTCATCTTCCGAATTGAACTTTGTTCCAAAACATAGACTGTTCAGTGCTCAGAGACTAAGGACCCAGAACTGTATAAGTCTCATAAAAACTTTGGACGATTTCATTAATCTTTTTCTTCCACTGTCAATTTCCTAGAAGGCTTTATTCAGCCCAGACAACATTCTTCAAACCTACCATTAATCTTATTTTTTCCAAACTATTTTCTTGCTTTCTCAGCATTCTCTGAGCAAAATTTTCAGGCCCAATAAAATACAAATGTTTTGTTCATGCTACAAATGTCTCGCAAGTGAATTCAACCTTTTTTCCCCCCCAGCATTTCCAGCCTTAAGAAGATATATTTTTTGTGAAAGTGAAACTGGTATTAACATCTCTTAATAAAGACTGAATCAGGCTATAAATAATTGTGGGAATCACTAGACTAAACCTCTCTTTTTATGTACCTAATTTAGGCCTCAGGATACAAATCCCTTTTGAAAGGATTCAAGCCATAATGCAGGGTAAAAATCATTGTGAGGTTCCATCAATCTCTCAACTGGTATGGTGTTCAAATAGAAGATAGCATGTACTAATTGTCCTTTAGATTTTCCATCTGAATTAAAAAGTCAGTTTGGAAATAAAATTACTTTCATTAACATTTAATAAGATTTGGAAGATGTAAGTCTACATTATAGTGACCTTTTACATCAAGTCACAAGTGAATGGCAAATTATTACAATAATTAGATGAGATAGTTACTTATTAACCAAAGATTCAAGGAGATTCTCCTGCACTGAAGGTGAGGTAAATCCAATAATTTAAAAATAAACATTTTTACTATGTCATAATTAAGTGAAAAATAAAATAAAGCCTCCTACAAGGTTAATCTTACTTCTCAAATTTGCTGAGGACCTAAGACTACATTTTTTCAGATATAATAGATAAAAACAGCATTATTTTGCTTGGAAGTATAATATATATTTCTCTCCCTTCCCACCAGGAAGGGATTTAAATATCCTTACAATTCTTTTCAATTAGCCTTTAAAATTATTATAGTCAAATCTCAATAGGTAGGAAGAGAAGCTGAGAAAAGGTATAGTAAACATTTCTACGGAATTCACTTCTAATAAATTATTAGTTTTCTTGTTGTATTCAGATGACTAATTATTCATTAGAAACATAAGCAGCTCTTAAAATGCCAATTAGATAGGAAGGTATCTTGCAGTAAAAGGCAAAAAATATACCTGAGTCAATGCCAACCAACTAATAAAAAGCCCTCCCAAAGCCTGAGAATGAACGTTACAAAATGCAGGACACTGAGGACATGTTAACAGGTTGCAACCCCAGAATGATCTGCATCGCTTCTTATGCAAATAAAAACAATCTGTTGTGCAGCGGGCCAAATTTCTCAATGATTTCTAAAAAGCTCTTTTGTTGCCAGTCTAACCAAGCATTCTACTGCTGACCTTTAAAAAGAATAATACAAAAGCCAGAAAAGATTGTCTCTTTGCTTGGGTATCTTCATTACAATTAGTTGTCTAATCAGTTCTTCCATTACTAATAATATTTAGACATGGTTTACTTTTCTGAAACTTTGCAGGTAAAAAATCTCTAGGAAGCTTGAAAAAATATTTTTGGAAATGTTTCTGTTATATCAGGTCAGTGGAAGGAGGAATCAGATTCTTGTCCTGACCACACTATTTATTTCCCCTGTGATTTCTCAACCTATGTCATTATAGAATTATAGAATTTGAGCTGGAGGGTAAGAGAACCCCTTATTCAATAGATAAGGAAACAGGATACCATGAAATTTAAACATCTTGCCCAAGTTCATATAACTAATAAGAACTGTGGATACAGGGAAGACTAGAACAGATTTCTAGATACTCATAATTATTGTCTCAAGCTATGACCACACTTCCAAAAATAGCAGGTGTGCGCACATGTGTGCACACACACATGCACACAAAGTAACCATGAGCATTTGTAATCTTACGCGTGATCAATTAGTAGCATGCTATATATACAGTCAATAGCATGATTACATATACTGATTAAAATACAATTATAAAACTGGTGAGAGAAAAATATTAGTGTTCAACTAGCATAAAATGGCCTGTTTTGCTAAAGATAATGCAATACTCTATCTTTATGGTTTGTTTTAATATATGGCTTTAGAACTTAGTAAGCCCTAAGGCTTTTAACATAGGGTCATGTCAGCTTGATATGATTATTTTTACTCCTCTTTAATTATACACTGATATATACTATTATTTAAAACATCTTAAAGTTGGCTGATCGAAGAATTTACAGGGTACCAGTTGGGTCTGACTTAGATGTCAACTAGCCGATAGATAAAGCCCTCAAAGAGAAAACCTGCCTGGAGCTATCAGTGCATGTGTGGGCTAAATCATGAAAAGGTATTCTAAGAATGTATATCACTCAACTAAAATACTGAACATACAGACACTAGGAGAGAGATATATGTATACTGTAAAAACATCCATGTGATGACACTGACCAGAAAGGTAGAAAATATTAGGTCACTGAATGGTTTGAATCATATGATTAAAAAGCTAGTATTACTTTTTTCCCCTGTGAAATATTATACTTTTTGATTCAGTTCAGTTGTAGACCCAGGTGACATTTTTCTATTGATACTATAATACAGCAGGAACGTCTACAGACATTGTTTTTCTACTGTTTTTGTTTTCTCTTTAGTATCACTTCAAAGTTAATTTGAAGAGTTAATTTCAATTCAAATTTGAAATTTAATCCTTATGCTACAGGTTTGACTTTATTTTATTTATTAATCCATTCTGATGAGACTTTCATGACTTTATGTGAACATTAGAGAATTACACTTTCTCCTTGTTCCTGCAACTACCTTCACAGATAAGACAAAAAGGAAAGTCTGAATTATAAAGGAACCATACATACCATTGCTATAATTATAGTAGACCCACTGCCCACTCTTGGGTTTTGGAAGTGACACAGGTGTCTCTTCAGCAGGAAGACTGTAGAATCTGCATTCCACGAACAGCCGTTGGATAGTGTCATCTGCAGTTACTCGAGAATCATTAAGGCTTAGAGCTATGATCTCAATCTGAATTTTTTCTGATGGCTGTTTAAAGAGCAAAAACAAGAAAACCAACAAAGAAACATGAAACAAATGAGCAAAACCCCCTTTACTCTTTTTCACTATCAATTTTAAATAAAACATGAAGGCCAATGGGTTTCTTTTTTGGAACGCATTGTACACTACTGTATAGTTACACATGATAGATTATTCACGACAGAGAGAGAGAGAATGAGATTCTAATGCCCCAGGGTTTGAAGTTAACAGTGTCATGGCAATAGTCTCCTGATTTACATTTGAGGCTATAAATACCCCACTAGTAGTCTATCAGGGGGGAAGATTATGAGATCTTCATCTCCGACAGCTCTCAGAATGACAAGTATCAGTTGGCCTTATTTCAAACTATGTAATGAAGTACATGTTTATCACTGCTTTTATTTAATCTACAGTACCTGAGAAAGTTTCGGTTATGCAGAGATCAAAGCCTGTTGAATACTTCATAGCTCTTATGCTAATAAATGTCGCTATATGAATCCATATTAAGGAGAGCAGAAACTATAGTTCATCCTCTTATATATTCTGCCACAACATATTTCATTCAGTAAGAAATGTTTTCAAACAAAAGAAACAAAATTGTTATCTAATTTACTACGTATTTCCTTGTAATTACAGAATTAACAGCTAAAAATATATTCATTTTACTGTGTAATTTTCATTTCAATCCTTAATAGATTTTTGGTGTCACAGACATTACTACATGAACCATACATGTTCCCTTCAGTAACGATTTAAAACAAACTATAGACTACGACTTAAAAATTAGATCACACCAAGATAACCCCTCACTTAAATGTTTGTTTCTTACAATTTTAAATTTGTGCTTCATTCCCTTTTACTAAATCCCTCTTTACTAAATTCAGAAGCATGCTACTGTAGATTATATAACTTCAAATAACAATTAGAAAATCCTGAAACTGAGACCTGTCTACATGACCAACTTTTAGGAACTCACTGTCAAACATAAATCAGTGTGCAAAAATTCATCACAGTGATTACTTAGACATTTCAAAGCATATAATGTAATTAAACTGAAAAGCACAACTATCCTATTGTAACAATATCCCCATAAAGAACAATTTCTATTACTGTCAAACCCCCTCAATATTTGATGAAGTAATTTTACCCCATTCTTTCAAAAGACATTTTCTTTTATTATGTATTCTAAGACACTTTAACTAAAAACCCAAATCTGAATATTTCAATAAGGTTATTTTATTATTCAGTAGATTCATGGAAATTTTACTAGGATGACAGAGAAAATTCCACACCATTCTGTCTCCACTAATACAGGTACAAGGCTGCAGCTGGCAATATTACTAGGATTAGCATAGTATGATGAAATATTTAAAGGAAAATTTTTTCTAAAACCTAATAAATCAAATGACTGCCAAATGTCATTAAAGTGATGGTCTTTGACTTGAATATGCTTTTCATATTCAAATTTGAAAAGAAAGAGATGAAAGCCTGGAAAGGTTACTCGGTTTCAACTAATAACCTCAAGCCCTCTCCGTTCACGTGCATAAAAAATGAAGTTGGCTCCATTGTCTAACCTCACTTCAGAAAAGCCCTTTTCTGCTCGCCGAAGACTAACGTGGCAAAGAAAATATTTTAAGTGATATTATTTTTTCCTCAAAATGTATGGTTGTTGTCAAAATAACACACATGAACACCCATTTTACAATTCTGCTTCAAATGCAGCACGATGCATGATTAAGCCTTTTACATGCCTTGTAATTTGAAAAAACTCAGAATTGTTATAAAATAACTTCTTATAAAACATTCTTGTTCGTTTCTGCACAAAAGAATTAAAGGAAATTGGCCATAAAAAGGCAAAAGAGGCATATACATGTTTATTTCTACATTGTGAAAAGAAGAATTTAAAGTTGTTTATCGTGGAACTCAATGAAGAGGCGAATGAACTTTTAAACAGCAGAGGAATCAAATTTATTTAACTGGTTATTTTATTAATAATATATTAAGTATATCGTTCCCATATGAAAAGTTGCATTTTTCTAAGAATGTATTTAGGCTGTTAAATAAGACTATATATAAAAATCTAATTCTAAATGAAAGTAGATTACAGTCAAAGAAACAAACCAAAACTTCAATACCAAACAAACCAAAAGAAAACCTACCGTATTACACAAATAAATAAAAGAGCTTTAAAATTCCTCACATGACATCATCTCCTTTCTGGGCCAGTCTTTTGTTACTGTTTTCCACCCCACCCCTATCCTGCCCCAACCTCATTACCTCTATCCTATGTCCTTCTAAATTCTCTAATATTCCAAACAGAAGTTATCATTTCTTTGTTCTTTTTACGCTACATAAACCAACTTAAAATACATCAAAAAAGGGAGAAGTTCCAAATTATCCAAATTGTATGTATTTAGGGAAGCATGTTCTCAATAAAGAATTTTCCAAACATGATATATTTTGGCTACCGGGCTAACCAATTTATTTTTCAACATCGGAACAATTCTGGTGTGTTCTTGCCTCTGTGCGTCGAAAGTTCAACTAGATTATATATTAAAAATTTTGAAGATTAGGAAGCACTTCCCACTGTATAACTGACAACTCCAACTTAGTGTCAGAAATGAACTCAAATTCTCTCCTTTGCCCCAACCTCCATTCATCCTCTGCAGCTTCCTATCTCAGGTGACACAGCCATCCACCTGGTCACAGACAACCAGGAGACTGTGGGGCCACTTTGGCCATCCCCGGTTTTCATACCCACCACATCCTACAGATGACCTATTCCTGTTCATTTTACTTCTTAAACACCTCAATGATTCGTCAAATTATTGAAAGCTTATGATATTTCAACACTGTATCAGCTACTGGGGAGATAAAGACAAAACCGCATGTGGTTTCTTTCTGCAAAGTGGATCTACTTTCAGGGCTGGAAAAGAGGTGAGGCACTCTTGCCCTAATCCCTTTTCTGCAGCGGCAACTACTCTTCTTGTGGCTAAATTCTCCCTCCAAAAACAAATCAGGTATCACCTTTCTGCTTGAAAACGGATGAACCTTCACTCCAGCCATTTTCCTGGACCAGGGGTGTGCTGTTTATATAGCTTGGGTTTTGTGTCGAAAATCTTCTCTATTCGACAAAATTCTGCTTATTTTAGGCCCTGGGCCACATATGCTGTCCTTTGATGATGGCATCACAAATCTTCCAGAGCAAGCTGGTTCCCCCACTGGACCCTCACTGCACTTTTCAGTAACATTATACTGCCTGGATTTCTTTACATATCTGCCTCTCTCTGGAGACTGTGAGCTCTTGGAGACCAGAGCTGTATCTTTATTACTCTTCTGCTGTTCGACATTCTATCTGGCACATAGTAGGCCCTCAATAGTCAGTAAAAGATACAGAGTCAAGGGAGATTGAACATCTTTTATATATTCAGATTATCTTTTGTATGTTGCCAGAAATAGGTGAAGCGGCAATTACTAGTGTTTTCTCTTTTAACAAATATTTACTGTGTCTCCCCTGTTTTGGTAAGTTGGTGATGAATAACTGTTGAAAAATATTCAGAAATCTTGCTGTTCTAGATTTTAGTTAAATAAGAGTATTTCAAAGACAGGTCAATATTGTAGAATTGAGAGGGCAGGTTACTATTATTTCAGCTTTTTTGTATGTTTGAAATTTTTCATAATAAAGCAATGAAAAAAGTTCCTTTAGGAGCCTGGGAAGGGATAACGATATTCGGACGCCTAAAGCAAGGCCTCTGCAGATAGATGCATAGTAATGTCTCTTCAGAATCACTAGAACATGACAGGGCTCTTCGGCCGGACATTAATAGCCTTCACGTATAGGAAGTTTGCCATACAGTCTAGGCTTTAGGCTTTTCCTGTTTCCTTTTTTTTGTAGAGACAGCTCGCACGCAGGGTGTGGGGCCCCAGGTGGGGAGAAAGAAAATCTCCTCACACTCCACACTGAGCGTGGAGGCCTCCATTCCATGACCCTGAGATCAGGACCTGAGCTGAAATCAAGAATCCGACACTTAACGGACTGAGCCACCCAGGCATCCCTCCTGTTTTCTGTATGTATGAGCGTTTGTTACTAAGTATGATGTTACTTTTTTCGTCTCCTTCACCAACTGCCCTATTAACTTCCCTAGTTAGAAAAGATGTTGTTGTCAGTATATAAAAAGAGCATTTAAAAATTCTGACTGTGGTGACAGAAGTAATAGAAGTCACTCAAATATGAATTGCAAGCAACTTATTTTTAGTTGTCTGTATAGATGGACACTACATATTATGTGATTGAATGATCTAGAAATGTGATGACAGCTAGTATTACTCCCAGAGAAAAAAAGTTATAGCTCTCATGATTTTGGCTCAATTCCACTATTGCTTCCTGCTTGATGTTAATTCATTTTTAGGCCATATTTTTCTATAGTATTTACTTAAACTTTTATTGGTATGTTTAAATTTTTTTGTTTTACTTAGAGGATCATGCTGAATTCTTCCGACATCAGAGCAGCTACACTGGAGTTGAACTGTTAGCCTCCTAAAAATTAATTATACTTGACAGCCCTTAAACATAGTTTTCCTTAACTGAGAATGGCCTATGAGAAAGGTTTTGCAACTTGTATCAGTCAGTTAGATTTAACTCTAACTCGGTTGAGATTACACGTGAGTTTTATTTCTTTCTAAATCTCTACAGTGAATAAGCATTTCTGTAAAATTATAAAGCAGATAAAATAATTTGGCATATTCAGGGACTCAACATCTTAAACAGAGGTTACTATTTTGCTGTATCTGATTCAAACTTTTTTGTTGTTACTGAAGAAATAAAACATTTCAGATGCAGCTAAAGCCCCCACCTATTTCCTTTCTCTCCTTCCCCCAGAGGAAACCAGCATCCTGAAAGTGATGTGTATCACTCCCAATCATGCTGGTATGTTTCCTGCAACATACGTGTATTTCCATTAACAACATATAGTACTGCTTTCTGTTTTTACATTTCATATTAGTGATAG